TGCTGGGCCCACTGCTTGTGGTAAGTGTTTGGCCAGAACTTGGGTTCAACACCCCCACCCTCTCCTTGGAACTTCCTGGGTCACTTTTGCGCATACTGGACCCACCCCTTCACAAGGGACAATGAGGAGCCTCCCCTCACCTGACCCTTGGGCTTCTTCCACTGTGTTCTGCATGAGCTGAGTCTGGAACCAGTCCAGGTTGAATCCCCCCACATCCTTTCCTTGGAACTTCCTGGGTCAGCTCTGCATTTTGACCTCCCCCCCCCCTACACCATTGGCCTGAGTGGTCCTGCTCTGGCATGCCTGACCATCCAGGGCCTGCCTTCCCCTCATCTTTGGCCCTGCTGGGCTCACTGCTTGAGGTGAGTGTTGGGTCAGAGCTCTGGTCCAACACACCTACCCTTTCCTTGGAACTTCCTGGGTCTCCTCTGCCCATACTGGACCCGCCCCTCCATGCAGGACCATCTGGAGCCTGCCCTCACCTGACCATGTGGCCCCTTCACCTGCCTTCTGCATGAGACCATCTGGAGCCTGCCTTCCCCACATCCTTGGTCCTGCTGCAGCCTCTCCTTGAGAGACCTCCAAGAGAGCTTGGATTACCCAGAGTTACTGACATTGAAGTCCTGACCCACCTACACCCACCAGGAGAGCAGGAGAGAGAGAGAGAGAGAGAGAGAGAGAGAGAGAGAGAGAGAGAGAGAGAGAGAGAGAGAGAGACTCCACCTGCACCCAGAGAAAGAAGCAATGGGAAGATGGCAGTACAAGAAAACACTCAACAATAGAAAGACCAGTATGACACCACCAGAATCTAGGGACTCTACACCAACTAGACCTGAACACACCAAAGCAGATAGCACAGAAAAGAATGAGCTAAAAAGTAACTTCATGAAAATGATAGAGGCCCTCAAGGATGATTTATGAGAAATTTCCTTAAAGAAATGGAAGAAAAAACAAACAAAACATTGGAAGAAATAGAAGAAAAGACCAAGAAAAAAAATGCAAGATATGAACAAATATCTTAAAGAAACAAGGAAAGCCAAGAAAGAACACTCAAACAGATGAAGGAAAAAATTCAAACAGTTCAAGACCTGAAAACTGAAATATAGAAAACACAAACTAAGGGAATGCTGGAAATAGAAAAACTGGGTAAATGATCAGGAACTGCAGATGCAAACATAATCAACAGAATACAGAGATGGAAGAAAGAACCTCAGGTGCTGGAGATAAACTAGAGGAAATAGACTCATCAACCAAAGAAAATCTCAAATCCAACAAATCCCTAACACAAAACATCCAGGAAATGTGGGACACTGTGAAAAGACCAAACTTAAGAATAATAGGCATAGAAGAAGGAGAAGCCCAGCTCATAGGTGCAGAAAAGATATTCAACAAAATAATTGAAGAAAACTTTCCCAACATAAAGAAGGACATGCCTATGAAAGTACAAGAAGCATACCAAACACCAAATTGACTCAACCAAAAATAAATAAATAAATAAATAAATAAATAAATAAATAAAGGTTCCCTTGCTACATAATAATCAAAACATCTAACATACAGAATAAAGAAAGAATATTAAGAGTAGTGAAGGAAAAGGCCAGGTAACATATAAGGAAGATCTATCAAAATTACACCTGACAACTCTGAAAGCCAGAAGGTCCTGGATAGATGTTCTACAAACATTAAGAGTCCATGGATGCCAGCCTACACTACTATACCCATCAAAACTCTCAATCACTATAGATGGAGAAAACAAGATATTCTATGACAAAGCCAGATTTTCACAATACATATCCACTAATCCAGCCCTACAGAAAGTTCTGGAAGGAAAACTCCAACCTTCAGAAGTTAACTACACTCAAAAAATCATAAGCAATAGATAATCCCACTTAACCAAAACCCAAAAGAAAAAGTGGGGCAAATATACTCACAATACCACAAGGAAGATACCCTTGAAAGAATTGGTACAGGAGCCCACTTCCTGAACATAACACCAGTAGCACAGACACTGAGATTGACAATAAATGGGACCTCCTGAAACTGAAAAGCTTCTGTAAGGCAAAGGACACAGTCAACAAAACCAAATGGCAGCCCACAGAGTGGGAAAAGATCTTTACCACCACCACCCCCATCTGACAGAGGGCTGATTTCCAAAATATACAAAGGACTCAAGAAGCTAGTAAGCAAACACCAAATAATTCAATTAAAAAGTGGGGTACAGAACTCAATAGAGAATTCTCAGTGGAGGAATCTGAAATGGCTGAAAGACACTTAAGAAAGTGCTCAACATCCTTAGCCATCAGGGTAATGCAAATCAAGGCAACTCTGAGATACCAACTTAAACTCCTGTCAGGATGGCTAAATTCAGAAACACCAATGTCAGTTTATGCTGGGGAGGAGAAAGGGGAACACTCCTCCACTGCTAGTGGGAGTGCAAATTTGTACAGCCGTTTTGGAGATCAGTATGGTGGTTCCTCAGGAATTAGTTTACCACAAGACCCGACAATTCCACTCTTAGGCATATACCCAACTGATCCATATTCATGCAACAAAGACATCTGCTCAACTATGTTTATAGTAGCACTTTTGTAATAGTCAGAACCTGGAAACAAACTAGATATCCCACAACTGAGAATGGATAAAGAAAATGTGGTACATTTATATAATGGAGTGGAGAAAGACAATGGAATCTTGAAATTGGTAGGCAAATGGATGGAACTAGAAGAAACCATCCTGAGTCAAGTAACCCAGTCACAAAAAGAGACACATGGTATGTACTCATTCATATACAGAGTTAATACATATAGCAATGGGTCACCAGCCTATAAATCACATGGCCAGAGAAGCTAAGATACAAGGAGGACCCTAAGAGAGACATACAAGGGCCTCCACAGAAGGACCAAGGAACAAGATCTCCTGTGCATATTGGGAGTGGTGGGGCAGTGAGTGAAGAGGGAGTTAAGAGAAAGTGAAGGTGAAGAGGGGAGAGAAGAACATGAGGGACCAGGAAGACTGAGTTAGGGGAAGAAAAGAAAAGAACAAGAAAAGAGATACCATAACAGAGAAAGCCATTATAGATTTGAAGAGAAAACTGGCACTAGGGAAACATCCAGGGACCTACTAACTAACAATCTAAGCAATAGTGGAGAGGCTACCTTAAATGCCCTTCCCTGATAATGAGATCGATGACTACTTTATATGCCATCCTAGAGCCCTTATCCAGTAGCTGATGGAAGCAGAAGCAGATACCCACAGCTAAACACTGAGCCAAACTCCTGGAATCTTATTGTAGAGAGGGAGAAGTTATGAGCAAAGAGGTCAAGACCAGGCTGGAGAAACCCACAGAGACAGCTGACTTGAACAAGGGGAAGCTCATGGACCCCTGACTGATGGCTTGGAAACCAGTATAGGACCAACCCAGACCCTCTGAAAGTGGGTCTCATTTAGAAGGCCTGGGCAGTCTAAGGGACCCCTGAGAGTGGAACCAGGATGTATTCCTGGTTCATGAAAGGACTTAAGGAGTACAATGCCCATGGAGGAATACTCCTATAGCCTAGAGACATGAGGGAGGACCTAAGCCCTACCCCAAATGACTTGACAGAATTTGATGATCCCTCCTGGAAGGCATCACCCTCTCTGTGGAGTGGGTGGGGAATGGGACAGGATGGTAGGTTGGGGGGCATAGGAGGGTGGGAGGGAGAGGTTACTGGGATCAATATGTAAAATAAGAAAAAATAATAATAAAGCAAAAAGAAAAGAAAAGCAAAAAACCTTGTTCTCAGTTGACATTGTACAGCCCCTTTGTGTTTATTTGATCACACAAAACCAAATGTAATTACTTCCGTGCATACAAGAACTTAGTGCTTTAACTGGACTCCAAGGGCAAATTGTAATTTTCATAAAAGGCCTCTTGTACTTAGTTCTTCTACTTTCCATCACAGAGTCCATATGAAAATACTAGGAAAGCAGATATTTTGAGCCAAGATAGATCTGTAACTAACTGGCCAGAGCTATACTGACAACAGTATAACCTAGTTATAATGTAACATAATGTATAACAACTGTATAGTGAAGTGTTTTACTGTTGGGAAGGTTTAACAGCTTGAATGTTGGAGAGGTGGCATGTGACCAAGTTCAGTTTGTTTTATATGGGGGTCAGTAGCCAAGGGGGATCAGATCTGAAGGGATAGAGTGTTCAGTTCTTAGTTGGGGGTATTTTAGGGACTACATTTTTAAACAGGTGTGTTTTGAAGAAAGGCATACCGTATCAAGATCCTGGAAAGAAGGTCAGCCAGGAGACAGTGATGCTCCACATGCTTGTAAGTTCTGAGCTGGAGTCCAGTCTCATAGAGGTTCTCACAGAGGTGTGAGCAGGCAGCCAGGGCAGGCTGCAAACCTGGTCAGCTTCAGTGATGCTTGATAGAACAATGGCTCCTTGGTGTTTACCTGGGCATCTGGGCTCGCTGTTCATCGGAAAGTGTTAGAGGAGCAAATGCTCCTCATTCCCAGAAGGAAGAGAAGCAGGATGCTCTAGCTGTTGAAGGGCAAAGCTTCCAGCCAGTTGTGATACAATCAATAGCTAGAGGTCATGGCTGATAATCAAGAACCAGAGACTGAGAGGGAAGGCACAATGAATGAATGAATGACCAGCTATGGGAGACGGTGTTAGTATATGCTGTACTCCCATGCAGTGGTTCTACTGATTTCTTATTCAGAATTCAGTCACATTGTCACAAGCACCTTCAAGAAAGGCTGAGGGTTATTATCCAGATAAAAATAAGAGTTCTAGGGTTGGAGAGATAGCTCACAGATGAAAGGCAAAATTTCAAAGTCGTTTTGATTTGTGTTTCCCTGATGGCTAAGAATGTTGAACTTTTGTTTAAGTGCTTCTCAGACAATCGTGTTTCCTCTTTTGAAAACACTGTTTACATCTGCACCAGATTTTTAATTTGGGTTATTTGTTTTCTTGATTACCAGTTTTTTAAATATATATTTAAGAAAAAAGTATGAAATGGTTCATGAATTTGCATGTCATTTTTACATTGGGTCCATGCTAATCATCTTCGTGTCATTCCAGTTTTAGTATGTGTGCTGCAAAAGCAAGTGTTGATTTCTTTCTAGTTTGAATACAACTTATTCTAAGAAAGAGGAGATCCCAATCAGGATCAGCTAACCCTTTCTATCAGAATCCCTGTATTCCCTGTAAAAACACTGTCTTAAAAAACCCTGCTAGACATGGCAGTGTTTGTTTCTAATGACAGCACGTGGGGAGACCAAAGGTCATACTCTGCAAGAATAAAGATCTTCATGTCATAATCAGAGCACAAGGGACACATAATAGTGAAAATGAGGCAGTTGTTTTAGAGCTGTGCAAAGAACAAGCTTTGCAGTTCTGAACACATGCCCTTTCTCCACTTCCTCATTGGCTGAGAAATCAGGAGGGTCCAGCTTCACATGCCATCCCTGCCTTATCTCTCTTAGATTTATCTTTTTCTCAAAACCAAACAAAAACCTGTGAGTGGGTTCATCTCTATACTTCTACGTTGTTTTAAACCTTACCAGACACTTGACCTCATGGTTAGAGCCAGCTGTTGTCACCAAGTCTGTGGGTCTGACTGTGTTCCCCATCCACAGTATCTACACTATCAGCTTTGGAATTTCCTATAAGAGCTAGAGCAGCTGCTTCTTGGTTTCACCTTGCATTTCATGAAAATAAACCTGATTTCTCTGAGTTATTTTCTGAACAAATAAAGTTATAAAAGGAGGATGCATTTGTGTCTGCATCTCTAGGCACACAGTAAACATTCTTTAAAATGTTGCATAATTTCTCTCTTTATTAATCACCCTCTATCCATTTCATTATTTTTGTATTCTGTTTTGTTTGGTCCTTCTAGACATAGCTTCACCTGTGTAGCCAAGACTGGGTTCAATCTTAAAATTCTGCTTTATCCTCCTGGTTTCTGGTTTTAGCAATGATATGAACTCATCGCCATAGCCAGATTTCCAGGTTCTTTTTTTTTTATGTTTTATTTGGATTGTTTATTATGTGTATTTGTGTGTGTGTGTGTGTGTGTGTGTGTGTGTGTGTGTGTGTGTGTGTGTGTGTGCGTGCGCACATGAATACAGGTATCCATGGAGAGCAGCTCAGCTGAATTTACAGGTTGTTGTGAGTCACCTGGCATGAGGGCTGGGAAGTGAACTCAGCTCCCCTGAGTAAGTACTCACTCCTATCCACTTCAGCCCCTCCATATTCTTTGTACCTTTAAAACTATACTTGTTAACATGTGGTGTCATACTAGCTATACCAAAAAAGGCCAGATGTTAAGCCACTGTAATTCTCTCCTCATTCTAATCCAAAATTCATTTGTTAGTTTTTAAAATGAAATATAAGTTAGCAACTAAATGGCAGTTTTAAAAATCATTCTAAGAGGATATAATGCAGAGGTAGACCAATTTGATACTTGTGCTGGAGGATGAAATTAGGAAATATGGAAGTCTTTTTTCTGTGGTTAAGCCATTATTTTTCTACAGGTGCCAAAATCTTTGCATGGACAGTAAGAGACAGTCTACGTCACAGCATTCAATAGTTTTAAATTGAGCTGAGGCATCTCAGGCAGGACACATTGGCATAGCTTAGCATGATGCTTCCAACAGGGGAGGGGACACATATTCAGGATCAAGTCCACAGTGAAACTGAGATGCAACAGTGGCAAGCGCTGCTAGAAATGCCTTGGATTCATAGCATTTGACGTAAGTTTTTATCATTGATCAGTCAGAAGCCTTTTCCTGTTGCTAAGCTTTTCATGACCACGAAGCTCCACAGTTTGGTCAGGGTGGATGAGCTGACTCAGTGGGTGAGGATACTCATGGGCGTATCTGAAGCCCCATGGTGGAAATAGAGAGCTGACTCCTGTGGTGGCTATTCTTGGTTGTCAACTTGACTATATCTGAACTGAACTAAAACACAAATGGCTGGTGTGAGGAATTTTTTTCTTAAGTAAAGCTTTTGAAGTGGGAAGACCCACTTCTAATCCAAATCTTTGAGATGGGAAGATACACCTTTATTCTAGACCACATCTTCTGCTGGCAGCCTATACAAAGGATGTGGAAGAAAGAAGCTTGTTGTCTCTTTGCCTGCTCTCAATCTAGCTAGCAAATCCTTTCCTTCACTAGCGTTAGAGGTCACTTCTTCAAGATTCCAGCATATACTGAAGACCAGCTGAGCCATCCAGCCTCATGGACTGCACAGCTACTGGATTTTTGAACCATCTATTTGTGTTGGATTAGCTGGACCACAGTTTTTATGCCATCTCTGTGTATCCCTAGCTATCCTGGAACTCACTCTGTAGACCAGGCTGTCCTTGAACTCATAGAGATCCTCCTGCCTCTGCCTCCTGAGTGCTGGAATTAAAGGTGTGAGCCACCACTGCCTGGTACCATACTCTTTCTATATATAGAGAGATCCACTCTATAAGTTTTGTTCTTCTAGAGAACCCAAACTAATGTAACTCCCATGAAAATTTTCCTCTGACCTCCACACACATAACATGGCAATGCATGCATATACACATATAATGAACAAACAAATAAATAAAAGCTACAATGCAATTTATTTTTTAAAATGTGGGTCTAGAAAGAAGAATTGTGGAATATTAGTTTAAGATGTGTTACATTCATTTATGATATGGAATATTTGTTTAATGATGCAAAGATGTATTACATTGTTTTATGCTGCATTTGTTTAACTCTGTAAAGCTGTGTTATTTTGCATGGTTTAATAAATTGTTGAATGGCCAATAGCAAGCCAGGAGAGTAATAGGCATGATTGCCAGGCAGAGAGAATAAACATGAGGAGAAATCTAGAGAGAGAAGAGGGAGGAGTAAGAAGGGAGAAGCGGAGGATGCCCGGGGCCAGTCACCCAGTCACACAGTGAGCCATGGAGTAAGAAAGGTAAAAGGCCCAGAGGCAAAGCATAGTTAAAGAGAAACGGGATAATTTAAGTTAGAAAAGCTGGCTAGAAACAAGTCAAGCTAAGACCAGGCATTCACAGGTAAGAATAAGTCTCCATGTATTTATTTGGGTTCTGGGTGTTGGGCCCCCAAAGAGGGAAAAAAAAAAAAAAAAACAACTACAAAGAATGTCTCACTTTACATCTTTTCCCAGGAGGGACAGGCTAATGGAAGCTGCAGCTGGAGTGTCTGCTCTTCTAGCTGCTGGTTTTCTGACTGCCTATTTGTCTCTGTGTTCTGAGATGAGCATGGCTTGAAGAATGGGGACCAAGACAAGTTTACCCACCAGCCTCTGACTGAGTAGGAAGAATGGTAAATATGAGCCTTGAATTCAAGTCCTTTGGCTTGAACACTATCCCAAAACTGCTAGGTTTTATTTGTTGGGAAGAAACTAGGAGAAAGATAAAGCCAGTTAAAATCAACTAGCCCCCCAAATCTGGAGTTTATACACAAGGATAGTAGCCTGGGGCTGCAGCAAAATCGATGAAGACCCACACCATGGATGACTGACTCTAGCTGCTTCAGCCTTGTTCCAGGTTCCTTGTCTTTTAGGTGATATTGATATGCACTTTGACAGCTAATAAATGATAATAAAATATTCCATATGTGCACAGTAATTGCTCCATTTTCTGCCTGTTTGCTGGTGTGGTATATCAGCGATGGTGGGGGGGCTGCTCTGTTTGGTTCATGAGTTTTGTCAGATATATTTTTTTCCTCTCAGTTAAATTGTAATATTATTGCAAGGTCCTCCTTTCTCTCTTTCTCCCTCTCTTCTTCTTTCTTCCTTTTTTCCCCTTCATTTCTTTCTCCTTTTCTTTCTACATAATTTTGTAAGGGCAAGGAGGAAAACCCCATTGATGTTTGAGTTTCTGGACTGACTGGTAAATAAAATTTAATTTCAGATTATATAATAATTTTAGCTTATTTGCAATCTGTAGTTATGTGTTATTAATGACTTTTTCCAATTTGGGCAAGAATCTATATGGATGAGTTTCATTTTTGATTAAGAGATAGTGGCCTACATTTTTTTCTTTTGCACTAATCTCAACATCTTCAATTTGTTGTACGAAGAGTGAACTCTGGGGTTGTGGTGCTGTGCCCAGCAGTCCTCAGCCTTCTGACTGTGGCATGTAGTAGCAGTGTAGAAACCCAGAACTGGCAAACTGCTGAGAGGTGGTAGAGTGCTTGGCCTCTACAATCTGTGTCAACCACATTGAGCCCCAGGAAACATCTCAGGGGCCAGAGGATGGGGCTGTGCAGCTAAGTGATGTGTTCTGACATAACAGAGCATTTGTGCTTGAGAACTCAAGGCAGCTGTAGTTACCAGAACAAGACCCACACAGGAGACACCCCGGGGCTCCATCCCGACCTGAAAGATGATTGGCAGTTAATGGTTTCTGGGAGATGGGGGCTTCATTTTCTTCAGTAATTTAGTCGCTGACAAATTGCCCATACTTTAATTAATAACTCCCATCCATGCTCATATACAAAAAGGAAATGGGAGAGGAATTTTGAGGCAAAAGAAGGAAGAGGATTGGGAGTCCAGGAACCTTGGGTCTGTTAGGAGTACAGCAGGCCTCCCTTGAGTCCTCACCTCTTCCTTTGGGCATGGTTGTCAGTCAGTGCAGGTCCCTGACATTCCCCTGAATCCACTGATGTCGGAATCTACTCTATGTCCCAGACCTTGACTTCCTCTCTATTCTGCTTTAAAATGCTCTATTCTAGGTGGGGGTTGTCTGCTCCCAAACACCCAGGGCTGTGTCTTCTAAGACTTTGAGTTTACACAGAACCTGGAAAGCTTTGATGATACTGTGTACTACCAGGGGCAACAATTACAAAGGATATCCTCAGTTTGCTAAGACTGAAAGAAATAAAACAGGGGGCAGGGATTTGGTGAATTTCAATAGAAAAAAAATCATCCTGTCCTTTAAAAAATACCAATTTGTTTATTTTTTTTATGTGTCTGGCTGTCTTGCTGCGTGTATGTTTGTATGAACCCAGGTCCTCTGCAGAAGCAGTTGGTGCTCAGAACCACTCAGCCATCTCTCCAGCCCCCGCAATGTGTTTTGAGACCCAAGTCTCTTCTTGGCCTG